AGAGAGAGAGAGAGAGAGAGAGAGAGAGAGAGAGAGAGAGCCTGTGTGGCACACCCCAATCAATGCTCGTGCATCATAGGGCATGGTGCACGTGCTGTCTCTTATACACATCTAGATGTGTATAAGAGACAGGTTCATGCCTCGGCGTCAGATTCATCGAGTCCGTGCAGCCGTCCCAGTGGCACTGTGGCGTCGCTTTGTGTAGGCTGGGCTGGGGGAACCCAGGTCCGGAAGTTAGCTGGGAGCGCACCCGTATTGGGGGAGAGTTTTGGGAATCGAGCCACACCTTCGTATCCCAGGAGGGCCAGGACTAATCTTCACCAGGAACAAAAATCTCCCTGGCAACACCAGCGGCGGTTAAACCGAGGTGGCCACGTGGTGTGGGCCGCAGACCAGGGTAACACTGTCAGATCAGTGTAGGGCAGGATTAGGGAAGGGGAAGAGAACCGGTCAATCAACACAAACCACCCCCTCCTATGTGGCAGGCCCTGGCGGGGTTATGCAGATAAATCTGCTCGGTTCGTCGCAGAGTGTTTCGTACATCCGCATCGCAGTACACGCTATCGTCGTCTGCGATCGGGAAGGACGGTAGCATGCTGCGATGGACGGATGAGAAGGTTGAGCACGGGCGCTCACATTCTACGAACATGGACTCCATACAAAGATCAATGGAACCCGCCTTGCCCTCTCTCCATCTCTCTCTCTTTCTCTTTCTCTGCGCCAGTGGGACGTGGGTCACGGATCAGAACAGATACTACACTTGATTAGCCAAAAGTCCGAGCAAGGTACCATGGCTGTATTTTTAGACTGAAAGGTACCCCAAATGCAGATATAATGACCCTAGGTTTTATTCGGTTGAACTGCCACACAGGGCCAGTTATCCCCACATGAAAACCTTCCATGCGCTCAAATCCAACAGCTCCCGATCCCGGTCCGTTCTTCCCCCTCCGAAGCCCAAATCGGGCCAGTCGTCCGAACAGAGAAAGAGAGAAGCCTCGGCCATGGTGCTCTAGCGCCACCTTTAGGGCTGTGAACAGGTTAGTAATACGAGGCGTTCAACATGGCGTCTTGTGCGTGGGCTCATGCCCTGTGGGAGGGCGGCGAACCTGTGTAGTCGAAATGCTCGTATCTGACCGCCCGCGTATAACTCCAACGATTCACTCGACGAAATCCGAGTGCCATTACACCTTTATTTCTCCCGTGACGACTTTATTACTTCAACGGGATATTATATCTAACTAACTACCTTCTTCACCCGAATACAACTACGGTCATTATATCTGTAGTACGTTGCATTCGGATGAAGAAGGTAGCCCACTCGCCGCCACTTACCCACTTCCAAGCACGTGGTCCTTCCAACTCATGCCCTTATTCTCGTGTTTCTTCTCCTCTTCCACAGTCTTCTTTTTACCCTCTCCTTTTTTCCCTTTCACTCCTTTCTTTCTGTTTCTGTCCTTCTCCTCCCTGCCTCTCCCTCTCCTTCCCCCCCCCCCTCCCCCCCTCCTCTCTTTCTCCTCCTGCTGAGTTTAGCTGTACTCGAACGAAGAGTACTTCGTCATCGGCGCGCTCTTTTGAGAATTGACGTCAACGAAAATGGCAATGGAAGCCCCCACGTTCGCACAAGCGGGCCCGTTGTCAGCAGCTTGCAGTCCCGACGCAAGTCGAGTGCGGGGAGGCACGGGATTGTTCGACACGTGGCACCTGTCCTGCTCAGACAAGGGGTCTGGGCTGTGCAATGCGCTGGCGGCGTGCCCTCCGCTCTTCGCGCAACGCAACGAGCGACTCCTTGTTCCTTTTCTTGAAGGGGATGGAGGCGGCGGGGGGAGTTGGGGAATGGAGGCGATCTTGAGGCACAACGTCATGAGGCATCGGCCTCTTATCCACTTAGACGACCCCATTTGGGCAAAAGCGGACGTTCCGAAGCTGCTGGCGCGCTGTGCTGTGGCCACCATAAAGGCGGAGGTGCAGTACCACCAAACCCACCACCAGGACGAGAATCAGGACCAGGTGCATAACCAAGATACAGCGCACCAGGACGAGAATCAGGACCAGGTACGTAACCAGGACCAGGACCACCACCTGGAGAGTTTACACCGTACAAGCTCAGCTGGTGCGACCGTTCCTCAAGGTCGTTTCCACAGTCATGGAACCTCCGGTGGCGGCGATTCCGTTGTCGTCAACGTTAATCCGAATGGACGGAGTCTGGTGGAGGAGATAAACCACGTATGCAACCTGCTGAGACCGAGCAAGAGCTCGTTCGAAGTGCTACAAGAGTGCGGCATCTTCTCTCTGTTCCCGGCTATGGTGTCGATCATGCTGTCTGGCAGGTTCGGTTCCTTCCTCTCCTCTTCTCTCCCTGCTTTTCTGTCCCGATCGGGCTCCGGAGGAGGCTCAGGCTCGGGCGGTTCCAGCTTCGGGTCCGGCTGCCTGGGCGAGTTCCGTAATTACCATTCCCACCCTCAACCGCAGCCGGGACTGGAGTACTTGTCCCACGTGTCCCAGATCAACCAGATTCTGACGCTTGGCGGCCAACTAGAAGAGGATGTGCAGCGACAGCACAACCATAAGTACATCGCCCATCAGCTCGCTCTGCTCTACCAGTGCCTCAATCAGGTACGCGGGGAGACCAAAGTCTTCAAGAGACGAATCGAAACACGATTCGAAGAGATAAAGCATCAGACAGAGCAGCAGCCTGCTCCCATCTTGTCCGACTCCTGCAAAAGATGGCTCCGTCAACTCATAACCGATCTGCGGGAAGTCATAGCCAGATTCCCTCCCAGCATACGTGGCAAGCTCTCGGCCGTCCAACAAGCGCTCGAAACTCCCACGGAATCCGATGCAGGGAGTCGTGCGGGGACCACCACATCTCACTGAACCATATTTGGCCGTTTTACGTGGGAAGTTTATACCGTACAAGCTCCTGGGGAGTTTACACCGTGAGAAGGTGCGTAACCAGGACCAGCAACCAGCATACGTGTGCCGACCTCTCGGGAGTCGAAGAAACAAACGGCTTGGGAACTAAGACGCGGAATCCGATGGAGGGAAAATCGGACGGCAAAAGGCAACAAATGAAGTCATGGCGAGATTTCCGCCTCCCAGCATATGTGGCAAGCTCTCGGGCATACAACAAGCGCTGGATACTCCGGGCCCACGGACGCAGGAAATCGTGGTGGGACCACCACCACCAGATCACTGAACTAACGGCCAGATTTCCTCCGAACATCGAACATACATTTTACGCGGGAAGATCCGGGTCATCCAACAAACAAAGCGAAGCTGGAAACTGGTTCAATAAAAATTGCTCCGTCAACCGATAATCAGTCTGCGGAAAGTCGTACTGGTAGCGAGGGGTTTCCTACCAGTGTACGCGCGGCAAGCTCTGGGGCGTCTAAGGGCCAAGATCCCACTGGCAAAGAGGGTTGGAATAAGTGTCTGAATCTGGACGTGTTCACACACACAGATGCAAAAAAAAAGTCGATGAACCACAATTTTTTCCCCACCTGTCCACAAACACGTCCACATTCAGACACTTACTGCAATCCTCTTTGCCAGTGTGATCTTGCCCTGTCAAGCACTGAAAACGCCAACGGATAATGGCAATTGTGCGAAGGCTGCCACGTGTCACTACTGAAGTTATCGCCAGATGTCCTCCCAGCATGACGTTACGTGGGACAATCAGGGCCATCCAAAAGACGAAAGATTGGAAACCTACCACGTGGACGTACGGAACGCAGGGAATCGTGCGGAGGCCGCCACGTGTCGCTGAAGTAAGGGCCAGATTTCCTCCGAACATACATTTTACGCGGGAAGACAGCAGCCATTCCAACAAACCTACCACGTGGATGAAGCGAATAGAGAGGGGGGCCGCCACGTGTCGCTCAAGCACTGGTCAGATTTCCCAGCATACGGTACGCGGGGAGATTGCGGCCACGTGACAAACAAAGCGTTAAACGCTGCCACGTGGACATCGGGAACCGGCGGCAAGCCAAGGGAAAAAAAAGAAGGGTTCGATATCACGTGGATGAAGCCAATTGGGTGATGGCGGCCACCTGTCTGGGACTGACCGACTCAGCGGAGAGACCATAGACTGAAAACATACAGCGTAAGCTAAACCGGGAGCTAGGTCCCACTTGAACCAATTATGCGATATTGACCGTCGATAGCGAAGATCCACGGCCGAGATCTCCTAATCCGTGCAAGTGGGACCTTGCCCCGGCTGATGCTGCCAGCTGAGGATAACTCCGGGTTGAATTGTGAGGTCCCCGGGCTCGTCAATTGAGTTTTGCAATATCTGAGAGAATTTAAAAAAAAAAAAAAAAAAAAAAAA